CCTAAACCCTAAACCCTTGCCTCGACCACGAGGTCATCTCGAGCGTGAACCAAATGTCCGAGAAGGCTCCGGGCTTTGCAGCTACAGCCGCCGCTCTGTACCAGGACAGCGACTCCTTAGGGTTTAGGGGTTTTTAGGGTTGTAGGGTTTAGATATTTTAGGGTTTTAGGGTTTAGATTGTTTTAGGGTTTAGATTTAGGGTTTGAGGTGTAGGGCCGTGATGATGAGTATGGGGTTCGGTACTTCTTCAGGTTTCTAGCTACATTAGGGTGTAGTGCTTGCAGGTTTTACGGTTTGGGATCACGGTTGGGATCACGGTTGGGATCCTGTGATCCTGGTAAAGCCAGTGTAGAACCAAATCATGAACTGCCATGGAGACAAAAGGTAAGGGTTCACATAGAGGTCGGAAAAAGTTGAAACGGTATGCCGCTCAAAGTCTACAGTCAGATCAGTGACTCTAACTTATAGCTACCTCTAGCCCAACATGCCCACGCTTTTAGAATTTCTTATCAGATATGGCTACAAATCCTCTGAACAATGTCCGTCTACGGGCTGCCGGTAAGCCTTTAGGCGTTCAGACCCGAGTCTTAGATTTTGGTTTAGGGTTTAGGTTTAGGGTTTAGGGTTTAGGTTTAGGGTTTAGGGTTTAGGGTTTAGGGTTTCTAGGTTTAGGTTGAAGTTCAGTGGCGGGCAGCTTGATGGCACTTCAGAGAGACCTCATTCAAGAAAGGGTTGAAGTTATCGGCTGAGGGTTATATGGATGCGCATTGCTGTTTTGCTGGAAGCCTTGGGATTTTACCGAAGCGAGGTGTTGTTTTCCACAGTTGGTCTTGTGTGGATGTATGCATGTATATATATATATATATCATTTATGTATGTATCAGTATGTATGCATGAATGTGTTATATGTTTCTCATTTTCTTTGGTATGCAGGTATTTAACTATATATATATATATACACAGATCCAGAGCAGGGTTGTCGTGTGGGGGGGGGGGGGCTTCGGGGGCAAAAGTGTCTGCCTGGGAGTCCGCAAAGCGATTGGAGGCAGCTGCTGACCTGGAACGGTAAGCCCAAAGATCTTAACAGCCAGTGTAGTGATTAAGAAAAGAATAAGAGAGCCCAAGACTGAATGAATGGGTTGAATGTTTGAGTTTAAGTGGATACTTTCTATTCTGCTGGGTTTGTGCACCCGCCATGCCCGAAGTCTTTCAGGAGGGGGGCTTGGCAGCGTTCTACCGTGGGCTCACTGTCTCGCTCATTCTGGCGATCAACCCAGCCATCATGAGACTTGCTCCACAAGAGAGAGGGAGGGGGAGACGTACTATCAAGGAGCCTTGCCTGCCTCGCGCGAGATTGAGAGTCGAAACCCTTCATTCCCGAACATGGGTAACATCATCCAAGGAACACGCTCATAACCTCCATGCTGCGGGTCAGGGCAATGCTGCTTGGCTAATCTGGCTGTCGGTGCAGGGGGTATTAATACGTTTTAGGTTCAGGAGCCAAATCAACTGTTGATGGGCTTTGGGGCAGCTCATCATGTATAGCGGTTTTGTAGTGTAGGATTTCGTGCGTATTTAGTGTCTGGTCGGAAGGCACGTAGGCAGCCCATTCAAAGCAAATCGACATTATGTCCATGAGACCCTAAGCCCGAAACCTGAATTAAACCCCACATGCAAGCCTCACAATTCCCAAACCCCTAAACCCGAAAGCCTAACATATCTGCAACTAGGCTTTCTCAACCCAAAACCCCCAAAGCTTGGAACCTAAAACATGCGAGCTCAGACTTTCACAGCTTCCCCTCCGGGCATTAACACTCCAAAGCAATCCAATCAAGGTCTTGAGGCACTGGGTTTCGGGTTTATGAGGAACCTAGAAGGGTCTTGAGGCACTGGGTTTAGGGTTTATACCTTAACCTACCAAAACCTACTTTTTTGTAGGTTCTTATTATAAACCCTAATATGGAATTTTTAGTGACCCTACAAAACAGTAGGTTCTGGTAGGCTAAGGTAAGGAACACGATCTGCTTGAGGATGTAGGCTTGAGTTTCGCCTGCATTGCCCGAGTTGCGAGAGTCCAAAGCCCGAAACCTGCTAAACCCTAAACCCTAAACCCTAAACCCTAAATCCTAAACCCTAAACCCTAAACCCCAAACCCTAAACCCTAAACCCCGAAAGGCTCGAAGCTGCTAAAGCTTGAACTACTAAAACCGAGTTTTCCTGCAGTGCACTCTAGAAGTTCTATATTCTATATCATTGTCTGTAAGCAGAGGCCACGGACACTAAACCCTAAACCCTAAACCCAATGTAGGTTACTATGGTAGGTCAGGGAAGGCCAGAACCCTAAACCCTAAACCCTAAAAACTAAACCCTAAACCCTAAACCCTGAACCCTAAACCCTAAGAAGTCTCTGAACGGTGGAGGCTGCACCCGAAGACCTGCACGCTCCAAAGCACGAAATCTTTCACAGCCTTGGGTCTATTCAGCTGTAAAGGGTCTAGAGTTCAGTATAGCATACTTTCTAACTATGCTGTCGTAGGTTTTTAGTGCGATTATCATATATCAGTATATCATCTTATTGGAAACGAAATCATACTATATGAATGCCTTATGGGTTCTGGCTTGGGGCACAAACCTCCCGGCCCCCCCAAAACCACCGGCTCGGCACAAGATGCGCAACAGCCAAAGGTTCCAACCACGAAATCACGGAGTTCAGGGTGTAGGGCTTAGAGAACCTGGCGCCCAAATCCCCTAATTAAACCCTAAACCCTGAAAAGCATAATCCTCTAAGCCAGAAGTCGCAAAGCCCAAAGAGGATGCAAGCAACTGCCAATACTGTTCCATGGGGCTCCTCATTCTGTATCATACCACAACGTACCCCAAATCCGTAACTGAGGCCCCGATATACTCTAAACCCTTATAATACCCCTTCTGGAGCCGTTAAAGGGGACCCTATTATAGTACCCGAAAGTACCCCGTAAGGGGGCCCTGCAGTACCCTATGGTACCCTTTGAAGGAAGCCTTGAAGGGAAGCCATGGCCCCTGTTATAAGAGGTTTCTGCAGTCCTGCGGCGTTGAACACTCAGAGGCAGGGTGTTGGCACTGGCATTGCAGGCTTTTCTGTTGCATAACCCCTAAATCCGAAGCCCGAAACTTCAATGTGTATGTCTGCATATATATATATAT